TTTGCACTTCTCTAATGACAAATGATGTCCAACATCTTTTCATCTGTGTATTTGCCATCTTTATATCTTTTTGTGTAGTGTCTGCTCAAATACAGACGGTGCCAAAAAATATGTATACACTTTTTTTTTTCCAGTTGAGCCATCCTGCCACCTGTTGGCAGCTCAGCAGCAGCTCAGCTTGGGCTGGGACTTGAACCGCTGTTGCTCAGAGCTCGCACTCTTGAGCGAGCTCTTAACCAACTGAGCCACTCGGCTGGCTCTGTATACACATTTTAAGAAAGGAAAATATATTAAAATTACGCTGATGGTAACCACTTTGAGCACCTCTTGTAATTGCTCAGTCAAACATGACTTGTATACATCTTTTGTTATTGGCATATATTGAGTATTACAATTTTAATAGTTTTTTCCTTAAAATGTGTATACAATTTTTTGGCACCCTCTGTATATCTTTTTTTTTTAATAGTTGGGTTGTTTGTTTTCTTAATATTGAGTTTTCAGAGTTCTTTGTATATTCTGGATATCAGTTCTTCACCAGATATATGCTTTACAAATATTTTCTCCCAATTTGTGTCTTGTCTCTTTATTTTCTTAACAGTGACTTTCGAAGACCAAAGGCTTAAATTTTGATGAAGTCCAGTTTATCAACTTTTTTTTTTTAATGGAATGTGCTTCTGGTGTGGTAACTAAGCAATGTTTGCCTAGCCCAAGGTCACAAAGAGTTTCTTCTGTGTTTTTTTCTAGAAGTTGTATTGTTTTGGGCCTTATATTATGACTCACTTCAGCTAATTTTTATACCCGATACCAGGTGTAGATTGAAGTTCATTTTTCTTGCATATGGATATCTAACTGTTCTAGCCCCATTTGTTGAAAAATCTACCCTTTCTCTACTAACTTGTCTTTGGCCCTTTGTTGAAAATCAGTTGTTTATATCTATTTGACTATTTCTGGACTGTATTAGATTCCATCATCTGTTTATCAGCCTTTTTGCCATTACCACACTGTCTTGATTACTGTAGTTCCCTTGCTTTTAAAAAATGTAATTATATTATCAAAATAATTTATGTACATTATAGTTTAGGAACTCCAGAAGTCTTTGACTTGATTCTCTCTTGAATTTTTAATTTGTGTTCTTATTTCTTGTTTCTAAGGTTTTTTCCCCCAATAGTCTTATAAATATTCCTATTTTAGGATTGCCATATCTTATCTCTCTGAGAGTAGTGTTCGTTTTGTTTTACTTAGTTTGGAAGTTTTCTTCTCCCTGCATTGTCTCAGACTTCCCTTTTTAACCCCCTTGTTTCTTTCTCTGTGCCTCCTGTTAGAGGCTTTCTTTAAGTGGCTAGGGATTCTGGCTGTATATTCATATTTAAGAGTCAGACAATTAAAAGCTGATTAAATGCTCTATGTATGGAGATGGGAGAGGCTCGTTGGCTGGTGGGCTACCCTCTAGTCTTGGGTGAGGTGGCAGGAACAGGGCCGTTTTGTTGGGGGGAATCCCCAAATGTCAGGTCCTTTCTTGTGGGCTAGGCTGTTTAATTTATCCACAGGAGGGGGTGGAGGCACGGACCATCTGTCACTGTCCTGGATACTAAGCCAGGGAGCCTTCATGAAATCCTTGTTCCAGCGCTCCTTCGACCTTCACCCCCAGCTGTGACCTGGTGGCCTGGTCCAAAGCCCCCCTCTCTGGTTTATTTTCTGCAGAGAGCAAACCTGTCTCTCACAGGATGGGGGAGGCCCTGTTTCTAGGGGCTAAGGGAGGCGGGCTGTGATCTGACTGCCTCTTCCATAGACTTTCAACTCACTCTCCTGCTTTCAGCTTCATCTTGAGCCTCCGATTCTTGAATCTTTCCCGGGTTCTGAGGCACAAATGGCATCACTTTTGTTGGCTTCCTGATAGGCACTTGGTTTCAGCTGACTCCCCTCTACTAAGCCTGTTCCCATTCTGCCATCTGCTTTCCACTTTTGTCTGCTCTGTTCTCGTAGTCATTGTCCTGGGCAGGACAGAGATAAATGCATCCATCCAGTTAGTTTTATTTGGACCCAAGGACACTTTTTACCCTTCTCCCCCCACCCCTCCTTTCCCCTTTCTCCTTCCCCCACCTTCTAGCCCCTGCCCCCTCTCCGTCCCCTCCACCACTCTCTTCTACCCTCCCCCTCAGTTCTTTCTCCCCCTTCCTTCTTCTTTGCCTGGAGCTTTCTGTACCATAACTGTTCTAGTAGCCAGCCAACCTCTTCAGGCCCCGAGGGAAAACAGTCCACACAATATAGAGAGGATTGGATAAGGAATCAGAAAGCTGAAGTCCCCCCCCCCCCCTGCGACCATGATAAACCTTCTGTCCTCCTTCACCCGCTCCTTGACTCTCCTTCCCATCCCTCAACTCTAAAAACCATGAAGACCCCATCACATCACAGCCCCGCCTCACGCCGCGCCTGCCCAAGCTTCGTCTCCCACTGGCTGCCTCATGTCTGCCCACCCCATGCCGCCTTTTCCTTGTGAGTCCCTGAGCAGGTGTGGGGCCCTGGCTCCACCACGGAGCTTTGTTGAGTGAGGAGCCTGGCTGGTGTCCTGGGTTCTGGGGGTTCAGAATATTAGGGCTGTGAGTGTCCCCTCTCCTATGGATTGCCCAGCGTCTCCTGCATGCATGCAGCTCCCTGTCCCCTCCACTGTGCCTTCCTAAAGACTGAGGCCTGGGTCTATGGCTGATTGGAACTTGCGCACACTCTCTTAGGCTTTCTGCTGCGTGGAAGCTGAGATCCTTCTCCCGTGTTGTCCATCATCCCCCCTCCTCCTGCTGTGTATTATTATTAAAGCAAGAGAGCACCCCCTTCCATCAACCAGCAGAGGGGGGGGATCCCTCCACAGTCCCATTCCTCCCTCGCTGCTGGCCTGTGCCTTTCTCCTGGGCCTCCCTCTGCAGAGGCAGCTACAGATGTCCAGCTGGCCCTTTGTCAGGGCTTTTGTCAGACACTGAAGCGCAAGTGGGTCCACTTCTATGAGCACTCAGTGGCTTTGCAAGAGAATGGGAATAGCTGAATAATAGTCTGCCTTTCGCTCACCACTTCCTACCCTCCTTTCTCTTCCTTCTCAGCTCCACACTCACCCCATTCATCCAGGGCTGGGTTTGGAGAGTGGCTGTTATCATGTGGAATAATAACACTCATTGGTTGGTGTTTTGCAAAGCACTTTCAGTTGGATACACAGCTACAGCAGGTTAAGAGGATGGGAGAATATTCCCATTTTATAGATGAAGTAACTGAGGCTCCCAGAGACTTCATGACTCGCCAAGTGCCTCACAGCTAGGGGAGAAGACCCCATTTTGACCCCAGGTCTCGTGACTCCATATCTGGCAGTCTTCTTTCTATACCTCAGGAGTGAGTCTGAGACTGTCCTCTGCCTTCTGCCTGGTAATTACTGTTTTTTTGGCTGTTAGGGGTTCCTTGGTCTGAGGCCCTACGGGAGGGAGGTAATTACATCCTTTGAGATGCCCTTAGTCAGCAGCTCCCGGTCAGTCCCTGTGACAAAGCCCAGCTCTGACCTTTGTCTGTCTTTCCCTGTCCCCAGGCTAGTGGCCTGGAGAGTTTGACTGGATTCCTCTGTTTCTCACTCTTCTGATTGCTTCTGGCTAGCCCTTCCTCAGAGTGCCCCTAAATCCTGTTTATTCAGGCAAATGGGTGCCCTCAGTCATATGGGGGGGGGGGCAGGGCGAGAGGGCTTGCAAATGCCTCTCCATCAGGCCCACCCAGTTGTTAAAAAAGTCATGCCCACCACTTTATCCCTAGTGCCACTCATAGTAGGAACTCATACAATATTTGTTAATATTTTATGTGTGAGTAGAATCGCCTCACCTCTCTGATACTGGATGCCACCTGAAATTCCACATCCATTCAGAAGCCCCCTGCCTCCCTCCCTTCCTCTTGGCCAACAGTGTTTCTGCTACTCCTGAGCTCTGTCTGATAGCACAGCTCCAACTTGCATGTCCTGCAGATCGCCTGGAGATTTTATAAACAGGAAGATTCTGATTTAGTAAGTTGGGGTAGGCTCTACCTTTTAAACAGGCTTCTGTGGACCCATGCTGCTGGTCCAAGGACCACACTTTGGCCTGACCTGAGAGGTGCCGAGGCGGGGGTCCCAGCTGCTCAGAGGCCAGGTGATCACAGAAGACATAGTTTGCACAGGGACAGGGCGCTGACATTTTTGGTGTGTTTGGCACAGCCAGGCTGGGAGAGTTGTGGAACTTAGTGTGGTGTGGAGTCGCAGGCTCCGTTCCTGCTCAGCCCATGCATGGCCCTGTGGGCCTTACTTAGCCCTGAACTAGAAGAGAGCTGCGGGTGGTGACACCTGCGTCAACCTGCAAACAACCCTCACCCTGAAAGGGACTCCTGAGAGGTCCGCTGTACAGGCTCTTACCATTTAAAAGTCCCTTTACTGTCCTTCTCTCCTTCCCTGCCTCATCACAAATACCATCTAAAAAAGGTGTTTTTTTTTTTCCCTTTGTTTTCTAATGTGTGGTGGAGGAACTGGGTGAGTGTTGAAAGAGGTTAGAGATGGTCTGTGTGCTTTGTCACCTTCTCCGTATCACTGTGGTCCTCACATTCGTACCTAAAGAACTCATTTTCTTGCTCGTCCCTGTCCCCGCTGCCCACCTCCACCTGGCCCGTGGACCTTTTCAGAGCACCAGTCCAGTGCCATTCCCTTCATATGGAGCTGTGGGGGGTGTTGGGGAGGTGGAGGACTCGCCCCAGGGCCTGGTGCGTTCATGGCCCACTCAGCCAGCCCGGGGAGGCCCTCACCTTCCTTGGTGGGCCTCTGTGTTCTTCTCCTAGGACCCCTTCCAGCACTAACAGTCAGATCTTGGGGCCTGTGCATCTGACAGTGAGGAGGGAGGGGAAGAGCTTTCTCAGTCTGCCCGGTAAACGCGCTGGGAGCTGCAGCAGAACTTCAGAGAAGGCAAGCCAAGTCCACATCACTGTCTCGTTTCTGCCCCTCCTCATCCCGGCAGGTCCTTGGATGGCCGACTGCAGGTGTCCCATCGGAAGGGGCTCCCCCATGTCATCTACTGCCGCCTGTGGCGATGGCCTGACCTGCACAGCCACCACGAGCTGCGGGCCATGGAGCTGTGTGAGTTCGCCTTCAACATGAAGAAGGACGAGGTCTGCGTGAACCCCTACCACTATCAGAGGGTAGAGACCCCAGGTATGTTCCCCTGCCTCTCCTTGGGGTCTGCACACACCACTGACCTCCCCCCCCGCCGTTCCTTTCCTGAGGGAGGGTCTGCAGTGTATTCGGGGGTACAGGGGCTTTGGTGCCAGCCTGGCATCAATGCCGATCTGCCTCTGCTCTGTCTCCACCGGACAGTTCTACCTCCTGTGTTGGTTCCACGCCACACAGAGATCCCGGCCGAGTTCCCCCCGCTGGACGACTACAGCCATTCCATCCCCGAAAACACTAACTTCCCCGCGGGCATCGAGCCGCAGAGCAATATTCCAGGTAGGTACATGGCGGTGCAGACCAGCCTGGGGATATGGGTCCTACTGCTCCGCTCAAGACCCCCTCGGCCCTCCCCGTCACCCCCTCTCTGCACACAGCCTGGCCCCTGACTCAGACCGCATCCCTGTAGGGAGAGGACCCGTGGCCTTGGCTTCCTGCTCACTAATGATGCTTTTCTTGGCACGGAGGAGGAGGAGCAGCAGCGTGACCCTTCCGCCCTGCCTCGGTGCAGTCATTTATTTTGGAAGCGGAAATAGCAACACTGTGTTCCTCTCACCGCCCTCGAGGCCTGGGCAGGAGTTCAGGCAGAATCCCCGAAGGTCTGGGGGCTGCAGAGGCAGTGGGTGCAGCATGGGCCAGGCACAGTGAGCAGAAAGCTGGCCTGTAAGTCAGCCTACTGAGCGGTTACAGCCTGGGTGGGGGTTGAGGCCCAATTTTAGTTTTTGATCCACAGGGAGAAATGGGCTCCACTGTCAAAGAATGCAGATGTTTTTAGAAGCCCCTCATTGACATGCAAATAATGTGTGAATCAGCTGCACTCTCAGAGTCCAGGGAGACGCTTGGCAGCGCTTGGGCTAGTCACCGCGCAGGGCCTGTGGCTGTCCAGTAACTTCGCTGCGTTCCTTTCAGAGTGGTCTGATTTGGACAAGCCTTCACCCCGAGTGAGTTTACTATGCTGAGGCTGACCATAGGCCTGTGTGCGTGGGTCACAGCATTAAGGAAGACCCACTTTACAGAGCCAGCCTTTGCAGATCCTGCACAGGTAGCACTGGTCTCCACAGGACAGGTCACCCACTCTGTTCATTCAACAAACCTTAGAGAACTAAGTTGGTCGGGACGGGTGGTCATTCAGAGAAAATAGATTAGTCTCTGCCATCATTGAACATGCAACCCACTTGGGAAGCTGAGACAACCCCTAAGGAGATGACAAACAAAAAGTCACCTGCACAGGGGCAGATGGCAGAGCCTTAGTGGGGTTTGAGGCGGTCACCCTTCAGAGGACAGAGATGGGCAAGGCTGAGGCAAGTCCACGGCCTCCCTGGATGGGTGGGCTTCAACCTGACCTTGGAGGATGGGGAGAAATTAGCCTGGCCTAGGCTGTCAGACTTGGGAGCCAGACCGTGTGAACAAAGGCAGTAATGACCAGCCTGGAGGTGGACGGCATGAGGACAGCAGGGTCCAGGCGCTGTGCCCTTACTCCGAGGCCCAGCGTTCCTCCAGCACTTGCTACTGGTATGGTGGTGTGAATATGTGACATGTTTGCAGAAGGTCTCTCAAGAGCCAAGCCATGGAGGCCATCTAATGAGCCACCTTCCTTCTGATTCTCAGAAACCCCACCCCCTGGCTACCTGAGTGAAGATGGAGAGACCAGTGACCACCAGATGAACCACAGCATGGATGCAGGTCAGAGTCCCAAAGGGGCGTGCTCTTAACCCCGAGTGCCTGCCCTCGCCCTCTCCCTCCACACCCCTCCCTTCATCCCCCTAGCCAGTATTTATAGAGCAACCACTCTGTGCCAGGCACTGTGCCAGGCGCTGGGGATAGAGGAGAAGCCTGAGCTGCTCACAGCTTGTGGGTGAGGCTGACATGACAAGCAGTAGTTCCTGTGCTGCCTTATATGTGCCCTGATGGAAGATGCCACGTGGCGCCAGGCGCACAGAGCCAGGGCCACCTCACCGAGCCTGGGGAGGAGGTGGTCCTGGGGGCAGAGCAGTACCTTGCAGTATAGATTTTTCTTAAATCTCGGCGATGTGTAGGTTGTCAGCCAAGCCATTGGGCAGGCGAAGGGTGTGCCAGGCAGAGGCAGGGGGGCAAGGGCAGGAGAGTCCGGTGAAGCACCCAATGTGACCAGTGCCTGCTCCTTCAGAGCAGGAAGAGATGAGGACATGTCAGTCAAGGCTTCAGGTGTGGTGGGGAGGGGCCGATGGGGAGCTGTTGCCGGCTTTGAGCAGAGGCTGTGCCTCGGTGAGATGTTGCTGGCAGCAGGGTGGACGGTAGGCTCAATCACCAGAAATAGTTCCGGAGGGCCTGAATGGAGGCAAGGTCTTTGCCAGTGGTGAGCGGAGGCCCTGAAGCATCTACGTTTGTGTGGTGACCAAATGTGATCTGTGGTTTCTACTGTGAGGGACCCAGCCCAGTGTCTCCAGTCACATCTCCAGATGTTCCCACGTCATTTATTATGGGACCAAATTGGCTTCAAACCAGCAGCTTCTTGAATTGAACCCCAGCTGCCACATGGCGTATGCGCGGCGTGGTGTGTGGTTGGGTGAGGAGGAGGAAGGAGCCAAGCAGATGTTCCGTTCCATTGCTGGCAGGCATGCTTTGCCCCCACAGAGCCACTAGACGCACCGAAGCCACCTGCCTTGCACACAGCGCAAAAGCAAGTGTCCAGTTCCCGAAGACGACAAAAGACACTCACATGTTCATTGTTAACGGAGTTGCTTGATACCTAGCCTGGGCGCTGTGGCACTTTGGGGTTTAGCACCCGCCCCCCCAACACACGCCCTGGATGAGTGGCTGACAGTGTGAACCCAGCTGGAATGCATTGAAGACCTTCCTGTATTGGATGCCAAGTGGCCACGGCTAGCTTACAGCTATTAAATGCTGGCATGGGAAGCGGGCCAGCCAAGCAGTGTCGCTCCAGATGCTGCATTTCTTCTCACTCTCCCTTCTTTCTTCCGTCTTTGCTGCTCTTCATGTTTGTGGAATGATTACTATTATAAAGGCGGGGGGAGGGTGTCTGTGTGTGGGCCGAGCAGCGGCCGTTTTGCCCCCTCAGCGCTTGGTGCTTCCTCATCCTCCCTCCCCTTTCTGCCCCATTTTCTCTGTCCCCTCTCCCTTCTTCCGCTCTTCCCGTAAGTGTATTTGCAGGGCCCTCTTGTGAACATCAGTGATGTATCGAAAGTAGACACTGGGCTTTGTAGACGCCAGCCGGCTTGTGGGTGGGTGGGTGGCGGCTCCTATTTATTCGGTGTTTCTCACTCAAAGTTGTCCTTTTGGACACCAGTCCAGTTGCTCATGGTCCAGCTGTTCATGGACAGCTGAAATGGGGCGGCGTCCCAGTTGGAGCCCCAGGATCACCTTGTCCAGCCCTGTGTCTCCCTCCCCTCATACACACGCACACCCGTTCGGATCAGTGAGAAGGTCCCACAGCCTTCCTGGGTCTTCATAAACCACCGGAAAGCAGGAAAATGACACTTGTGGGGTGCCTTCACTATGTACCAGGCACGGTCCAGGCATTTTTATATGCACGGTCTCACTTCATTTCCGTAAGTCACACAATAGACTGTATTATCCCCATTTTATACCCGAGGGAAAGAGTCAAGGCTCAAAGAGGGTAAACCCCTTTGCCAAAGCCGAAGAGCTGATGCATGGTGGCCTGTGCGACCCTGTGGGGATTTGGGAGCTCTGCTGCTTCTGGGACCCTTCACATCCCTGGATGAACTGGGTGCTGGGGGAGAAAAAGAAACCCATGGCAGGAGTAGGACCCCTATTAACAGCTCAAGGAGGCATATGCGTGAGGCCCAGCCTTGAGGACTGGTAAATTTCAGGATGGAGCCGGCCCCACAAGGCTGTTAATAAATAAATAACTCTCCATAGCCCCATGGGCACAGGGACAAAGGAGGGAGGTGCCCAGTGTTGCTCTGTGGAAAGGCAGCCACTTGTTTTTTGGAAGGTTGATGCCATGTGGGCTTGATTGATTGATTGATTGATTTTTCTGGGGGTGAGGGGTAGAGAGAAGATAATAGAATAGAAAGAATTGGGTAGGTTTGGATTTTTTCCCACATGCAGCATTATGTCTTGAATAAAATATCAGTCTGGTCACTGAGTTGTGGGATTTCTAAGGCAGTTTGATGAGTTTCCTGGAACTTGGGGAAAGGTCTGGATTGATATTTCCAGGTGCCTGAGCCACTGAGAGCAGTGACTGGTGGTGTGTGACCAGCCGAGGCCCCACCTGTGTGGGAGGGCTAGCCTTCACTGCCTGGGTCTTTGAGGAGCTGGGGAGGGGGCTTCCCCCCTCCTGCCCCCCTTCTCATTTTCCTGGGAGGCATAGTTAACAGGGAGGGTCAGTATGGTGTAAGGTCAGTGTTCCTTAGTTGGAAACTTAGCAGCCCTGTGCTCGGGTCTCAAGCTGTGACAGAGACCTTGAGATTATCCACTCATCCATTCGTTCCACAGATGAAGAACCCAGGGCCTGGGAAGGAGAATTACAGGCAAGGATGTGGCGTTAGACCTTCTCCTGGGTCTTGGAGGCTCAGCCCAGGGTTTCTTCCTGCTGTGTTGAGTTGCCACACCTCGGTGTAAGCAGTCAGTAATTGGGCTCTCCCGCCAAGAGTCCTTTACGAAGTCTAACACCTGTGTCTCACCTCGCAGGTTCGCCAAACCTGTCCCCGAATCCGATGTCCCCAGCACACAGTAACTTGGGTAAGTGTTTCCTTGTCCACACAACTGTAACCCCCTCTAGCTGCAGCCCTGGCCGGTGTGGGGAGGGGATCCTAAAGGTGAGTCTCCACTCCCAACGCCCCACCATTGGCCAGCTCAGCCATCCCATCAGGTTTCTGGTTACAGGGATTCTAGGGTCACCCACAGGAGGGGAAACCTGAGAACAGTGGTGGCAGGAAAGGCAACCATATGCCAGGTTTGTGTTTCCCCTCCGTGGCAGTTAGATGTGAGTGAGTGAAAATTCCCCAAATCTCATGCTCAGGAAACAAGGGTCTCTGGTCAGCCAAGGCTAGTGTGTGGCTGGATGCAATGCCCCAGGCAGCAGTGCAGACTCCAGCCCCTGACTGTGGTAGACTTGTGTCAGATACACTTGTTTGGGTTTTTATCTGATTGTTTCATCTTGCAATGATGTAGTTTTTATTTAAAACAGCAACATATAAAGAATTTGAAGAAAAAAACAACATTGCCCACCATCTCTCTTCATCCCAAAACACTGTTTTTGTTTTAGCATAGCCCTTTTGATGTTTGCGGATCAGGCGTATACAGCCGTGCCTTGTCATTGAGATCAGAGCGCATATCCACTTTTTCATTTCTTTTCTTCTCTTTATGTTATTTTGCAAACACATTTCTGTATTTCGATGCCTTGTTTATCATTTTGCATTATCTCATGGTGCTTTGGAGCAGCTAGACCATCATTTCCATTACCTTCCCTCAGGGGTGGCACTTCTGGGTCAGTGTTTCTGCGATTCGCTTTTCTACTCCAGAGCAAGCTCCAGCTCTGGTGTGGGGCCTGCAGAAAGGCTCAGAACAAATGAAACACCCATTTTGTTTTTATTGAGGGGAATTTTTTTTTTTTTTTTTTTTTTAGCTGAGCCATCCCGCCACCTGTTGGCAGCTCACGGCTGCTCAGCTCGGGCTGACTCGAACCGCTGTTGCTCAGAGCTCAAACTCTTGAGCGAGCTCTTAACCAACTGAGCCACTCAGCCAGCCCTGAGGGGAATTTTTTTATGTGCTTGTCTGATAGTTTTAGAAAAATGTGAGTTTGATTTCTGTTTTGGCCTTTACTGCTGGGGTTTAATGTGTGGCTCAGGAAAAGAAATAGTTAATAGCCAAGCCTGATGAATCAAAGGGGATTGGCCTGGCTTTTGTCCCCAGTTGTTTCCAGTCCATGACTGATGGCATCAGATGAAGAAAGTCATCCTTTGGAACATTGGGTGATGCTCGAAAACCCTTTAATACAGGCTGACAAGTGGGCACTGTGAAATGTGACTTTGGGGAATCTGTTTTAACATCTTTGTCAAAAATAATATCACTGTGAGTGTTGGTTTTTTTGCAGAGGGAAGGTCAAATTCCTGATGTGAGAGGACTGATTGAGTTATTAAAAACAAACTCTGAAGGCTAGAAGCTATGTTAATACTTGAGAAATTAAAGGCCATGATTGTGTGCCCTTGATTCTGGGCTTTCTGCTCTTGTGGTTGGCTGGCTTGAATTTAATGTTATCCCACCATTTTACCCCACCGTGTCCATGGCAGCACTGTCAGTAAGACAGGCTTTGGAGCAGGCCCTCACCTTTGAAATCCCGCTGTCTGACTCAGTAGTTCAGACTGACAGTTGCCCCAGGTGGTAGTTTGCTGTGAATTTCTCTCTGGATAGTGTGGACCAGGAATCAAGATGGTGCTTGAACTTGGACTGAAGGCAGTGTGCCCTGTTGGCTGCAGTTCTCCCTCCCTGCTGCCCTGATCCTCAGGCCCCTTGCCCGAGGGCTGAGAATTCTTAGGTCATTTCTTCCAAAGGAGGGAGCAGCCCCGGAGCCTGGCAGGCAGAGTGGGTGACACTCTGCTGGAAAGATCTGCATGGGGGGACGAGTCAGTTGACGAGTCAGGGTTAGGACTCATGATGAGACATGGGTGCTGACAGGCCCAGCTTCCTGTCTGCTTGATGAGCCTTCATACCCTCACCTTCACCTATTGAGAACTGTTGGCTTCGTCCCACCCATAAAATCTCATAGGCGCCTGGCCTCATGGCTGGTAGGAAAGGAGAGGATGGTGATAATGATGGCAAACATTTCTTGCGAACTTAGCGTTTATTGAGTGTGGTTCAGAGTGCTTCGTGCCGATCTTCGTAACAACTGTAGAAGATAGTGGTATTGTAATTTTTCACTTTATAGATTAGGAAACCAAGGGGCAGACTGCTTAACTAGCCCCAGGTCACGCAGCTAGTAAATGGAGAAGCTGGCTTGGAACTCAGGCCTTTGGGATCCAGAGCCTATATTCCCGTCTGCAGCAGGACGCTGCCTTGCTGGGTCATTTAGATCAGCCCCCCCCTGCCCCATTCCCCTCACGCAGAAGATCAGGGCTCAAGAAGGGCATTTATTAGCTTATAGTTGGGGACACACGTCAGGTGGAGGACCCTGTGTCCCATGTGGTCCCTGGGTGGGAGCCCTGCCCACTTGCCTGTCTCTTCCTTATTTGTTCACGAGGCATTTTCTGCCCGGTTGCTGTGTGCAGGGGTGAGGGTGGGGGTGGATTTGAAGAGGACTCCAGACCCTTCCATCAAGGTGCTTATGGCCTTGCTGGGATAAATAAGGCAGGGCCATACCTAATTATAAAACAAGAAGTGGGTGCGGCCGAAATACGCTGAGGGGTTAGAGGAGGTGATGATGGCATTCCAGTGGGGATACGCACCCAGGGTTGCCAGTGTCTCCTGTGTATCATTCATTCGGTCCACACTGGCTGAATTCCCAGGATGTATCGATGCTGGGGTTTCAGAGCTGCGGCGGGCACGTAGGAGTCACAGTCTGGTGGAGTGGCTAGAGGTGTCCGTGTCCACCTAGGATGCACTGTGCCAGATGCCAAGGGAGAAAGCACAAAGGAGGGAGGAACTGTATATGCCAAGGAGGATGGTGCCGGATGGGGTGGGAAGACCTCAGAGTTGTGGTGACGTGTGTGAGCTGGACCCTGAAGGACCGTGAGATGGAGAAGGAGGGAAGGACACTGTAGATGGAAGGAATGGCATGACAGGGCAGGGTGAGCTCTGAGGACAGCTGGCACTGTGGTTGGTTGGCATGTTGAGAGGCACAGTGAAGAAGATGAGGCTGAGAGGGCTGGTGGGGCACTAAGAAAAGAGCCCTGAATGCCATGCTTATGTTTTGCCCCGTCTTGCCTACAGAATCAAGTTGTAGGTGGATTTTGGAGTGGGGCGAGTGGTTATCTGATGACAGCTTCATAAAGATTTATCTGGCCACCATATGAAATTTAAGTTCTAGGGGAAATTATTGGCGGCAACCCCCCCAAACACATACATTCTCTCCCTCTCTCTCTCTCTCTCTCAGGCAGCTGTAGCACTGAGAGATGCTAAGATGAAAGCTTTAGAGAAATGGCAGCTGGGCGAGGAGAGGGCATTTGAGAGAGAGCCATGGATCAGCAGGATTTATTGATCAGCATTAGCTGCTGAGGCCTCTTAACTTGAGCAGGACACCCAGGAGATGAGATGGGTTTGGATTGGAAGATGACGCGTGAGTTGCCTTTGTTTAACTGTGTCGAGAAGCAGCCAACAGTCAGGAGAGAGACCCCTGCTGGAGGTGCAGATTTGGAAGCCATTAGTGCATGTGACAGCCTTTCCCAAAGTGGGGTCAGAGAGACAGGATTTTGCCATCAAGTGAGTTTGAAAGCCTATATTATACCCCTCCTGGGCGCCCAGGGCACTGGCATAGTGACATCTCTGAGAAGTCTTGCAGAAAGGACCCTGTTTGATCAGCGTGTCTCCCATCCATTTGATCACTATTGGAACACTGTCCTCTTACAATCTCATTGACCATCCATAGATCTCATTTTGGAAACACTGATGAAGGTTCGACTGAAGTCAGGGGAGTAAATGAATTCAGCGGAGAGGGAGACCAAGCTCGAGAAGAAAAGAGAGTCCAAGTCAGGCCATGGGGCCCCCCTCAGGGAGGGACAGGGGTTAGGGAAGAGGCTGAGGGTTAGGTGGAGGATGGGGCCACAGCACTCGGTGGGGAGGTAGTGAGGGAGGTGCTAGGGCAGGGCCTGCAGAGATGCGAAGTCAGATGTAAGAAGAGGCCTTCAGTTTGACGTCAGGAGTTCAAGGGCATCCCTTGGAGAGCAGGTATGGGGAGAGGTGGAGGCTGAGGTGGGTCAGCAGTGAGCTGAAAGGCAAATAAATGGGCGGCAGGGGGAGGTGTTGGGGAGGGGCAGGCAGTAGCAGCTTCTGCATTTCTTCTTCTTGGGCCTTTATGTCCCAAATGGTAGGATGAGAGGCACCTAGTGAGCTCTTCCTAGAGAAAGATGGCGAATCTCAGGACATCTGATTATTTCTTGTAGAGAAATTATACAAAAAGAAATGAAGCATAAGCCACCTGGCTCCTTCTTCACTTCCTCCCCACTCCAGGCAATAGGTCAGGCTTCCTGCCACAGCAAAGTCACTTGTGGTGACTCGTGGGATCCCCAGTGTGTGACTGAGGGCCAGCTCAGCCTCCTGCCAGAGGCTCTGAGCGACCCCAGGGCTTTGTTTTTCAGGGAAGGGATGTGAGCAGGTGATGTTCCTGTTATTACACATGGTGCTGGATGAGTCACCTGGAATTTCCTAAGCATTTAAATCAGAAGGATTGGGGAAAATTGAGGGGAAGGAGGGGGGAGGTGAAGAGAGAGAAAAAGATAACGAGCTGGATCCTGCTGGTGAGTAAGTTGTTCTCTGCTTTAAAGTGAGACATTTCAGGATGGGCCTCGACCAAGGGAAACACGATTCCAGGGAGTACCCTGGAGCGGCCGCAGAGCTGGAGCTTAAGGAGGTGATGGTTTCCCAGAGTGCCTCAGGCAGAGCGTGCCTCCCTCTCCTGCCAAGAGAGAGGGGCCAGGCTGGCCGGACAGCAGGAGGACCCCTGGCCCCTGACAGAGGACAGGGATCCAGGTTACAGGACAGGTGTCCAGTTTCAGGTGTCTTCCTGCTGCCGCTCAAGGCTTTTTTAAAGGCCTCCTTAGCCTCTGATCTTCTGTAAACTTGGGAAATCACAGGCATCTTAATGACAAGACGTCTGCTGCCACTGTACCCTCGCATTCCCAGGGTATGAGACTTTGCCACTATTCTTGGTCTCAGTAAACTGGTCCTAGGATGAAAGCACGTGGTGTTCTTTCTGTGTACACCTTGGTGCGTTGCCCTCATCCTTAGTGAGGTAGGTTGGAATCGGTGTCCCGGTTGCCTCAGCTGTGTCCCACACAGCTGGCCCCGGTGCTCAGGAACTAACCCTCAGGTGCACAGGTGGCTCAGACACAGGAGCTCATCCTACAGGAGGGGTGAGGCAATGTTTCACAGCCACGTGAGCTGGGCCCTGAAGGTTGGGACCGGGCAGCCCACGCAGGGAACAGCAAGGACTAAGATCTGCCAGCATGAAGGCACATGGGGATTGGAGACTCCTGGGCCAGGGTAGAGCTGCTCCCACAGTGAGCAGGGCCCCGAGGAAGCTAGTCCTTCCAGGGTTGCCTTTTAGCCCCGCAGTGTCAGCGCTGCTGGCCTTTGCCCGCTCCCTGCTTTCGATTTATAGTAGAAAGTTAATTTCCCCTCTGGCCTCCCCCCCCGCCTTCTTTACCGGATTTGGATTTCTTGCACATGTTTTTAATAGGCATCCCTTAATCCAAGTGTTGCCTTCTGGGTTTTATTCTGTTTTCTTTTCCTTAAACAAAACAGAAAGTCCATGCCAGCTTGGAATAGCGCTCAAAACTGAAGCCAGCCAATGTGTAAGGCTGGCAGGGGGCCAGTCATGAATTAAGTGCCCCATGCCACTCGAGAAGTCTGGCCGACACCACACTGATGGGGGCAGGGGGCCGAGAGCGGCTGGAGCTGGAGGTTCCTGTGTCTCCAACACCTCTGCTCCAGGAACAGAGATTAGCACAGACTCAGCAGTCTGGCTGGGAGCAGGGCCGCTTGAAGGGAAGGACCTGGGCACTTGCCATTGTCTGCCATTCCAGGTGTGCCAAGTCCTTGGCCTGGAGAAACAAAACCACTCTCCATTTGGGGCATGTCACCTTACCCCTATAGAGTCGTCCTCCCAGAGGAGCCTTTGACTGGCATGTCATCAGGTCCTTTTCAGGTAGCAACCTTATGTAAAATCACGTCTGCATTTGTGGAGAAACTCTTGAAATCAGGGCTGACTGGCTGGCTTGATTGATTGATGTGGGGGAGGGGTTAACACCTGCCAGACTTCTTGTAAGATTTAGTGTGAGGACAAGCTTTGTTTCCCCGGCAGGACTAGTAAGAATTGTCTGTCCACCAACCAGAGCCTTGTGGCGTATTATGCTCCCTTTTTGCTTTGTCTGCCAGGAAGCTCAGAGCAAGCTGAGTGTTTTTCAGTAGCTATAATCTCATGGTTATCCCATTTATAGTCTTCTCTTTTCCAAGGTCCTGACTTTTTTGTTTCTCTTGCCCTTAACTGTGATATGGATAAGTCCTTTGGTGGAAGTGAAATGAGGGCATTTGTGCAGTTTAAAAATAAAGTGCCATTCAAGGCAGAACCCAGAGGTGGTCATCCTACTTTTTGGTCTGCAGCTCCTCTTGCAGAAGTGCCTTGAGGAAGCAGCTGAGGGGTGATGGGAGGGAGAGAGGTAGAAGGCGGGGCTGGCTTCTAGTTATTTGCAGAAAATCATAAATGTGCGGCATAAATGTGGTGCTGTTCCAGTTCTCAATGCAGGTCAGCTTGTCCAAACAGCCCTCCCTGCAATGGCAGCCTGCAGACTGTCTTGGCCTGATGGCACTGCCTCCCCAAACTAGCATCTTCTTAATTACGTGTCAGGCTCCTGCGTCCAGTGTTTCCACAACACTGTCCAGTGTGTGTCTGCAATTACAGGGATGTTTGGATAAGGGCTCAGATCTACTTGGGAGGGTCTCTTGGGCTAGGACCCTAAGCTCCTCTCTGATTCTGAGCCATCTTGAAGCCCACACTTCCCCAGAGTGAGGTTCCAGGCCCCTTGTCACCCGATGGATGGCTTTTCTTCTTTTAGCAGGTGGGCTGTGTCATTGTGTTCTCGGGAGCCTAGTTCGCTCTCTTCTGCCTGGACTAAGCCCAGGGGGTGCTGGACAAGGCTTTATAATTTGGGAATGAGGACCGTCTGCTGTTCTGTGCTCTGCTGGGAAAGCCAGCGCCGGCGCTCATCTGCCTCTTCAGGCTGACCCGTGCCAAAAGTACAGTGACTTAGATGGTCTGCTTTAGACGTCTTCTGGTACACTGCAGACACTGTTCAGACTGGGAAACTGAGGCTAGGGAGAGGCCACGTCTCCTAGGCCACACGGCAAAGTCAGCAGAGCCAGCCTGTGGGCAGTTGGTGGCCAGCAGCCCTTCCCCAGTACCTCTTACCCTGACATGCTGCCGGACCGCTTCGAATGCTTGGATTACACTTGGATTTTTTTTCTTTTAAGGTTTCCAAAGCAACATTGCTCACATTTTAGTGACCACATTGTTTAGAATATAGCTTATCTCATTGGAATGCTGAGGCATCTAACAAAGCCTGAGCCGGATATGGCTGACGTGGCTCAACCCAACCTCAGTGGCTCAACCCAACCTCAGGGGCACAGGCCACAGGCCGAGGTCGCTGCTACCCTGTCACTCCCCTGCCCCCTCCCCTACTCCCCATCAGATCTCCTGCCTTCCCTTACTCCACCCTGGGAAGAGAGGAAAGGGGCAAGGACACTTTGCCCCTCTTGTGATGGAGGTCAGGACAGGAACAGGATGTTCTCGAGTTCAACTAATCACAGAATTATTAACACCATTTCTTGAGTGCTTGGTGCGTGCCCTGCACTTCATCTGAGTTATCTCAGTCCATCCACAAATAGCACCTAGTGGTAAAGAAGCTTCTCCACTCAGGTGGCTGGGGGGCAGAGGACGGGGAAGCTGGTTTGCTCACCCTCATATAGCTAATCTCTGCTGGAGCGGAGAATAAACTTCAGTCCACCTGGCTTTAAAGCTTGTGCTCCATGACCTGGTTAACATCTAGGGCAGTAATTTTCAACCAGGGGCTATTTGTCCCCTAAAAGACATCTCACAATGCCTGGAAACATTTCTTATTGTCACAGCTTGGGAGGGTGAGATGGATGGGTGCTGTTGGCATCTCGTGGGTTGACGCCAGGGATGGTGCTAACCATCCTATAATGTACAGAATCACCCTTCCCCCCCAAACAAAGAAGTGTCTGGCCCAAACTGTCAATAATGCCAAGGTTGAGAAACCTGAGCTAGGTTTCCTAACCCTCCAGCTGACACTCTGTGGGTGTGTGTTGAAAACAGGGATGTTACCAGCCTGCGGTTCCTCCTGGTATGGTAGCAGTCTCCTTACCCTGAGAGGGGATCCCGGGTGTAGACCCCAGAAGGAGATCAGGGCCGCTTGGCTCTGCAGAGGGCACCAGGCCCCTCTCAGGACAGCTTCTGATTGTTCTCTCTTGGGCTTTACACACTTGCAGAGGTCTGGTGAGCAGAGCTTCCTGGTGGGTTCTTGCCCTGGGGTGTTGCCCGAGAGGCAGTGAACAGGGCTCTCGGGCCAGTGTGGAGACGTGGCCTGGCCAGCTCGTCTTGTCCCTTTTACCAGCTCCCACAAAGACATACCCTAAGTAACCAGGAGGCCCCAAATATATAGGAGCCAGAGTGAATGATCCAGGCTGGAGGGCCGAGATGGCGGAGCGAGAATGAGCAGGAGATTCCCTGACTCTCCAACAAATGGGTGGGATTGAAGCAGGCAGAGAACAGGGCGGGGTGGACCTTAGCGCTCCCAGCCCAGGCGGGAGAAGTGCAGTGCAGAGAAGCAGCTGGAAGAGGCTGGAGTGCTGGGAAATTCTGTTAGAACGTGAGCACGATGAAGGCTGACTCAGGGCTAAGAGGACGGACCCGCTGAGGTGAGAGATGATGCCGAGATGGGCAGGAGGAGGCAGGGGTGCCTGGGCAGCTGTGGAGCCCAGAATGGCTGGAGGTGACAGAAAAGGCTAGGGAGGAAAGACTAAGGACGGGAAAGGTGATGTGAGATCATGGGAGGGGAAACCTCTATTTCAAGGGTTCCCAACCCTTCTGAGACAGAGAACCAACCCCTCACAAGGTGGCAGTTTTGCTGTGAGGAGATCTTGATGGACACCACAGGCTGACAGCTAGGACAAATTCAGAATATCCTTTAGGTGAGTTTGAGTATTCGCCACTCCTGACAGATGGCATCTGGGTACATCTGGAAGATAGTTTCTGTAATAAGAGAGATGGACCTGGTCACTGTGCAGACAACTCCTGGGGCCTGTGTGGTTGCCAATGCTGAGCATGGCAGTGAGCCCCTTGGGCTGTGCCAGCCTTGTCATTTTACAGGCTTGGATACCGCTGCTTGGCAAGCTAGGAGTTTGCCCAAGACCAGGCAGAGAGAGACAAAAGCTGACTGCTCTTTGGGGGCGGGGGGCAGAGATCAGCATGGGTTACTTCGAGGACCTTGGAAGAGAGGCTGGGAGGTGACAGCACAGGGGACGTGGCCTGACTGCAGTGAGCGTGCTGAGCCTGTCCCGTGTGTTTGCCCAGGTGCTGGTTGATGCCTGGCCCTCTACAGGTTTGGCCCAGCACTTCCCTGAAGAGTGTTTCAACTGAAGGCCAGGCCAGGCGGGACAGGGTCTTTGTAAGCTAAAGCTAAATGAAGTGTGGCAGGCCTGGTAGAATGCTTCTCCAAACACCTTGTAATGTGTCCCATCAGATCCTGCAAGTGCTTAACGATAAAAAGCATGAGGGCAGGGATTATAATACCCTCTGAGAGGTGGAGAAGCAGTCTTCCAGGGGGCCCCAGGGAGGAGCAGGGACCTGGGGACACCACTGACCCAGCAGCCTTGCCTGTCTCTTAGACCTGCAGCCTGTCACCTACTGCGAGCCGGCTTTCTGGTGCTCCATCTCCTACTACGAGTTGAACCAGCGCGTCGGGGAGACATTCCATGCCTCGCAGCCATCCATGACCGTGGATGGCTTCACCGACCCCTCCAACTCAGAGCGCTTCTGCCTAGGGCTACTTTCCAATGTCAACAGGAACGCGGCCGTGGAACTCACACGGAGACACATCGGTAAGGGCCAAGGGGTGGCTGCATTACCCATCCTTCCCTATGCCACGGCCCCAGCCCAGCCTGGGCACAGGACCCAGCCCACTTCCTGCTGGGAACTGGGGAGAGGACTCATACCCCCTACCTCCACCCCCAAATCCTGCATTGTCTTGTTTAGGGTCAGACAGGTAGAGTTCAGGTTGTTTAGTCATTCTCACTCAGAGACACAGCTCATCTCTGAAAACTTGAAAGCCATAGAGGAAAACACTTCACTTCAGGGGACAAGAAAGGGGAATCTATAGGGAAAGGCAACATATGCAGTTCTCTTAATAAATGTACCCTTGAATTACCGATAGGTAGGTAAGTAGATAATTTGTCTTGGAGGAGTGATCTTTTATTTGTGATTTCATGTGTGATTATTCTAGAAAACTTAGAAAAGGTAGCAAGTTAAGACTTGCCCACTGCTGGAACACCACTGCTGCTGACATTCTGCCTTCTAACACCCAGAACATAGTAAAAGATCGCTTAGTTTAGGGAGGATGAAGCCTTGATACTTATCACTTGGTTTGCTCATAAAATTATCACACTAAGGATATTCATCATTTTGTGATCCAGAGCAACTTAGAAGGGCCATAGAGATATGTGGGGGATTCTCAGACATCGTCCAGAGCCCCTGGTGTTGACCGAGGGCTCCAATGCCAAGAGCAAAGCCAGCAGCTGGGCAGGGCAGCAGGGGGTCTGGCCCATGTGAACCAGAGCACCCCTGCTCCTTTGTTATATCTTGGGCATTCACAGAAGGTGCATTTGAAGAGAGGATTTTTATAGTTTAAGAAGAAAAGTTTGGAAGCCGTGGGTCTAGGCTAGCGTGCTTATTCTCCGGAAATAATCTGATGCCCAGAAAGGTGCAGAGCCCTGCAAGGCGGGGGCGGGGGGGGGGGGGGAGGTCACACAGCAAGTGTGACACAGTCGGTGACAAACAGCCCCTGTCACTGAGCCACCATCCTTCCCAGATGGCCTCCCCATTTTGTTTTTCTTTTTACTTTGAAAAAGATATTCATCCTGGGTGACATACACAGGTGTTACTGATTCTTTCTATACTTTTCTGTATTTTTAAAATATTTCAAAAATGACCATGACACAATAAATGTTTTTGTTCTTTGGATCTGGGGCTTCCCACCTCAACCCCTGCCTCCCGCTCTTGATGGACATAGCACCACGGCCCCTCTTATGAACCCCAAGTCCACCAGCACCCTGCATGTCTGTGAGACACCAAGTCCTATAACACTGAACCAAGAAGAAATGGGGAGCAGGTGGGGGGTGGGACAGGAGTGGGAGGAGGAGGCAGGGAGAACCTCCGGTGGCCCGTAAGTCTGTCACCTGGTTTCCATCCTATTAGACGTTGCGCCTGTAAAATCTCCGTTTTCCAGCCCTCGGGGCCTCTTCCCCAGGAGTGGGAACAGGGCCCTTCCCACGTGCGAGGAGGGAGCACCCTCTGGCTGCATGGAGAGCTCATTGTTGGAGTGTTTATGTAACTGCTTGCATTGCAGAGCCAATTTAAAAATAATTTTTGTCCATCTGGAGTGGATTTAAGAGATGAAGGAGAAGTAAATGATATAAACCTATGGAATGTTTTAGAAAGATGCACTGAGGGGAGAAAGGTACAGGGGATGGCACTCAGCCACCCCGGCAGCGAAGGGCTGCTGGGGTGTCTGCTGCCTCAGGAGGATTCTGCAGGGTTACTGGCTGAATTTCTGGGTCTTTGAGGGGAGGGGACCTACTAGTAGAAGCAGTAGCAGCTAACACTTAGCAGGCACTTACTGTGTGTGTCTCACAACAACCCTGTGAGGTAGGTATTATTATTGTCCCCATCTTAACTGAGGCTCAGAGGTGGCGTAACTTGACTGAGACTCGTGGCTGGTCAGTGGCAGAGGCTGTCATTGAAACTTACCTCATGCTCTTTTCTCTGGTCACTTGCCTCCTCCGGCTTTAGGAACCCACTATTGCCCATTATTCCCCATGTGGGTTTAGGTTTGGGCAAAGAACCAGACACTTGGAGTGTCTGCTGCAGCTCTGCCCACTTTGCGAGCCGCATTTGGCCCTGGAGCCACTGTGTGGGGCCAGGCTCCCTGGTCCGGCCTGACCCAAGTCTCTCTAGGGCGAGGCGTGCGGCTGTACTACATCGGAGGGGAGGTCTTTGCAGAGTGCCTCAGCGACAGTGCCATCTTCGTGCAGTCCCCCAACTGTAATCAGCGCTACGGCTGGCACCCGGCCACCGTCTGCAAGATTCCACCAGGTAACGTCACCTGCACGCGCGCCCCTTCCCTGAGGTCCACGCCCCTGTGGAGCATGCCTGGGACACTGCAGATGTTGCTTTTGTTTTTTCCCCTGACCTTTTCTCCTCATCGGGGTTTGCATTGTCAACCTGGAGGCACTTTGTCTGAGTTTCCTCTGTGCCTTACTACCGTACTGTGCTCTCCCTGAACCAGCAGGGAGCAGATGCAGCATCTGCCGGATCTGCCTTTGACCCACCCGCTCGTGGGTACCTGCTCGTTGCCCTGTGTGCATAGATACTCAAGCAGCTCCCTCCCTCCTGCCCACTAACAAGCACAGCATGCAGTGCTGTGCCGGTGGAGGGGCGCAGGAAGCCCAGCTGCTGTCCCCACAGACCTTACAGACCAGCTAAGTGTACAAGACTAAGACGCGAATGGGTTTAGTACAAGGGAGGGTGCTTAGCACAGATGAGGTGAGCAGCACAGGTAAGGTGCTCTTGGATCCAGTGGGAAAAACACATTTAACTGTAGGGATGGATCAGGGAAGTCTTCCTGGAGGAGAGGCATCAGGCACAGGGTGATGGTGGGGTGGGGACCATGAGGGCGTTCCAGGCAGAGGGAACAATATGGGGGATGGAGGGCAGGGCACGTAGAGGAGCACTCTGGCTGGAGGAGAGGCTGTGTAGAAGAGATGCAGGGGGAATGTTTAGAAAGCACAATGGGTCCAGGCCATGGAAGGACATGGAAAGACATGCTTTTATTCCAGAGAACTGTTGAGGGTTTTCTGAGCAGGGCTGATGAATTCCACCTGTACTCCAAGAAGGGGTGTCAGGCTGTACCCAGAGGATGGCTTGGACAGGGCCAGGCCTGGGCAGCAGGGCCAGGGAGGGGGCTGATCCCATCTAAAGCCTCTTCACTTAGAAATCCAAGGTAGGAAGGCCCAGCCAAAGCCCACTTCTTACATGGCATGCGGCCACTGGGCACGTGGCCCATAGAACATGGTCTCTGACTGGCTGGAAGTATGTAGCCCAGATCAGGCCCTTGACTGCAGTGCACGTGTGGCCTGTCTTTTCCTGCCCACTGAGTAGCAGATGATAGTGGAGTGGGGGGTTATGGGCAGGTCAACTTAAGAATGCCAACAGTCTGAAATGATAACAGTGCTGTCGTTTCCAGAGCTGTCGTTTGTGTGGCTGTGTCTACAAAGTACCTTTATATCTCTGCTCTCACTTAGCCCTCTCCAGTTCGTCTGGCTCTTAAGGTGAGGATGCATGTTGAGACAAGTTCAGAGAGGTTAAGCCACATGCCCAAGGACACACAGCTAATAAATGGCCAAGCCAGAATGAGCCTCGGACTGTGACTCCCAAGCCTAGTGCTCCTCTGTTCTTGGCTCAGCTGGAGGCCAGAGCCCACTTTTGGCCCTACCTCCCCACACTTCCCCTTGGAGAAAGCCAGAGGAGGAAGCTGGGTTGCATTCTTGGCATTTTGCCTACTCCCTTCCCCAGCCCTCCCCACATCTTTTCGGTGAGGGCTAAGTTGGCTGTGGTGGTGTTTAGCTCATGGAATGTCAGTGCTCAGGGTCCTCCGAGGCCAGCCCCTCATTTTATAACGGAGACAAAGGCTTACAAAGAGAAAGTGACCAGCCCAGTCACACCATACGATTAGGAGCCCGGCGTTGGCCCATTAATAAATGTCACCTCAGTTCACCTTTTGGGCATTTCCAGCATGTGCTTTTGTCTTTATTTTTCTGGTCGACACATTCCTGGCACTCAGGTGGCAGGACTTCAAACAAGAGATTTATTATAAACTTTATTTGTGCCTTTCTCTAGTTTTACTGCCTGGAGGGTTAGACACGCACCTTCACTTTGCTGTGAATGTCACCCCGACCCAGCCTTTTGCCTGGAGGCCACAATGTGGCCCAGATCTCTCCCTCCCTCCTGGCCCCAGCACGAGGTGGATTCATCAGAGGGGCCCGGTGGGAGGAGCCCTGGGACCCTGTGCTGACTTCCTGATGGGATGGCAGACTGAGTAGCCTTTCAGCTGGCCCGTCTCGGTCAGCACTCCCCTGTGGAATGGCCAGGTGGTCTCCTTCCCTAGGTGGTTAGCCATACCCCACATGGCTGTGGGCATTGTAGCTCAGGTCTCTTACCTGTCTGTTCCCTGGAGCCCTGCCTTGGCCTCCTTACCCAGGGCAGGGTCCACCTCTCCAAACCTTCTCCCCTGTTCTTGGCAGCCTCCTTTACCAGGCTTCCCCAGCAATCCCTCAGCTCTAGGGGCTGGAGCTTGCAGGCCAGTGTTTTACGTCTCTGCCGCACATGTGTCAGCTGTACCCCCCCGACTCCCCCCCCCCCACTGAAGTGGCGATGGCTCAAGGGCCAGGGACCAAGTGGGCCTGTCCCTAGCGTGATGCTGAGCGTGGACTTTGTGTCCCATTTCAGCCGCGTGAGTTATTCTATTCTGGGTGACCCAGGATGGCTTTAGCCAGGAGGGGAGCACCGGATATGTCCGCCCTCGGTCCCCACAAGCGCTGTTTCTGTTCTGTTGGCAGGATGCAACCTGAAGATCTTCAACAACCAGGAGTTCGCCGCCCTCCTGGCTCAGTCCGTCAACCAGGGCTTTGAGGCCGTGTACCAGCTGACGCGCATGTGCACCATCCGCATGAGCTTCGTCAAAGGCTGGGGGGCAGAGTACAGGTCAGGTCTGGGGGCCGCAGGTGCCGGGGTCCAGGGACTGCAGGGGACTTGGAGCAGCAGAGCAGGTGCTCCTCAGAGATGAGCTAGGCCAGCCCTCGCCCGCAGGGCAGAGGCCAAGGATCAGAGAGAGGCCTGGCAGCGCCGAGTCACACTCGATAAGGAAGAGCTGAGCGATGCTGGCCCAGCGCCTCCCCGCTCCTCATGCGCTGTAAACACACGTGCTCCATGTCACCCTCAGCACAACTCGGGGTGGGGACATTGCATCATCCCCGTTGTGTGGGTGAGAGAACTAAGGCCCAGGGAGGGAAAGTGACTTACCCGAAGTCACATCGTTAGCGGGAAGGCTGACCCTAAAACTGTGTGCTCTTTTGGCTTGTCCCTCATGGTTCATTTTGGGCAGATGGGTCTAGGACGACCCTCTCCAGGGCGTTAGGTTTTCATCTCCTTGTTCCATCCCTCCTCTGTGGTTCCATCTCTGACTAGGGTAACCCTGAGGATCTAGAATATTAAATAACTGATAAGCAGGGAAAGGAGGAGGAGGAGGTCTGGGTAGTCATAAAGGAACAAAGTTGGCTTGCTGGGAAAAGCAGTGATGTCTCTTAGAATTTCAGATATCGGTTTAAGCCTGACACTGGCCAGGGGTCAGTCTGGTTTGCTCTGTTGACTCTCAGACCACTCTGGTTTGGGCTGAGAGAATCCAGTGCCTTCTGTTTCACACCTGGGCAGGAGCTTCCTGAGAGGCAGGGCTGTGTACCCCTCCTCCAGCTCCCCTCACCCCTCACATCCCCACCCCCAGCTCCTGAGGCAGACGCCGAGGTACCCACACGTCAGCGGGAGCCCGCGCCTTGCGAGCTCTTCTCCCCTTCTCTTCATTTTTCCAGATGTTTGGAATCCATTTTGTTTTGCAGTCATTCTGCACCCGAGCCAAACCCATTTCAATATTGGCTCTGGGCCACTGTTTATAATGAAATCCAGATGAGCATGACTTATGGAAAGTCAGATTCTCATTAGAGGATTTCGGTCCGTAAAATCCTCTTCTTCCATTTACCGTATTTTAGCTGCTGTTCCCCGTGTCTGCCCCGCAGCGCCAGGGCACACAGCACCTTGGTCTGTGGGCATCTCTTTGAGATCCGGGGTGAGTGACCCACTGAGTGATCAAAGTGCTCAGACCTCAGGAGAACTTACAACCCAGTTATAATGGCCTCAGATTAGCCCAGGCCCAAAGGTCTAGCCCCAGGAATGCCTTAGACCACCTTTTGGCCCTGGTTGAAATCACTTAGGGAACAAGAGTTGAAAGGTTAGAAAATTAATATATATATATTTTTTTTTAGTGGGGAAGGGAAATATTTAAAGATGGATCCAATGGAAAAGAGCCACAAGGAGGCCCATTTGTTCTTCTTATATTCAGACTGTGGTCCAAAGGGCCACACTCAGGCACTTAGATCAGGCGGGCACCCCAGGGCCGGGTCTGCAAGCTCATTTCCAGCTCTCCACTGGGGCGAGGCAAGGAGGGTGGTGCCCTCAGGCCAGCGGCAGCACAGCCCTCCAGCCTCAAGTGCTGGGAAGAGGCCCCTTAGTGGTGGAAGCCTTTCCCTGGGGCACTGTATCACCACACAGGACATAGTGCCAGCACACCCAGTCCAGTGTGGCCCACCACGTCACTGCCACCTGGCAGCACACAGAGCAGCCTAACGGGTGGGTGCGGCCCCTTCCCAGAACAGTCTTGCCCTCCTTCTGCCTTTTGGGCCAAGAGAGTAAGGTTTCATCCCTTCTCTCTGTGAGGTGGCCCAAAGCAGGGCCCAGGGCCCAGGCCTCACCTCCAGCTGGCACCAGCGACTCCGGCCTAGGCAGATAGCCTTTGCTCAGTGGAGGCCTTTGGGAGCTCGCCTGCGAGCTGCGTCATCAACCAGCCTGAATTTAGACAAAGTGCTTTGGGGAAAAGAAACGTGTGGTGTGCCTTGGTTTTTTCCAGTAATTGTTTCATGGCTCGCTCTGCTCGTAAGATTTTCCAAAATAAGGCCATAGATGGGAATTATATCAGCACATTGGGAGCCGACGGCATGCCGACTCTGTCGGCACTTTGTAAAAAACACCCCTCAATCAGACAGACACACGTCATCGCAGCCTGCTGGGGCTGGGCCCGGGTCTGGAGATGGGGGAGCTGAGATGCCCATTCGGGACAGATGTGGTTCAGGAAGACCTTTGTTCACGCTGACGGCTCTCTGTCGGGGGGCCTGTCACAGCAACTGGTGGGCCTTAGGGGTACCCTGAAATTTGCCTTACATGTTTAACTCTTTCAGGGCCACCTCCACCCCATCAAGAGAAGCTGATTTCACTCAAAGCTCTTCCTGGTTGGAGGAATTTGGCCTGGCAGTTTCAGCAAGTTATTGGCCACCTCCACTAGGGCACCTGGGGTCTAGCAAGGCAGGACCTGTCTCTGGCTCTGGGAAGAATACTGTCACCAAAGCAGGAAAAAGTATTCTGACTTGTGTCCTGGACATTTTTTAAGTCTCCCACCTTTCCTTTCCCATGTGTTATAGGAGACAGACAGTGACCAGCACCCCCTGCTGGATCGAGCTGCACCTGAATGGGCCATTGCAGTGGCTTGACAAGGTCCTCACCCAGATGGGCTCCCCAAGCATCCGCTGTTCCAGTGTGTCTTAGAGACATTGGGTGTGAAGGGGGAGGGCGGGGAGGGCGGGCTTGGGGAAAATGGCCATGAGGAGGTGGAGAAAATTGGAACTCAACTCAACTGTTGTCAAGGAAGAAGAAATGTTCCTTCCTCAACCAACGTGGCACCAACCTGTTCTCCAAAACACAAAAGCCAACCCAGAGATGGATTTTATGAACAGCTGTTGTCTGCTGTACACATTTGCCCTTTGGCCTCAGTTTGAAGGGCAAGAAATGTCTTTTGCTTTGGTGGCTTGAGCAAACAGGTAGTTATGTCACCACCTGTCCCTTCCCCCTAGCTCCCTTCTTTTTTAATGACAACAATCTGGGATGTCACTGTCCAACAGGAAACGGCTGTCTGTTCAGGACTGCAGAGTGGAGTTCACCGTGGATGTTCTAGGTAGGGGAAGGCCTGCAGGTGGGTGAGCAAACCTCACGTCCAGCCCTCTGGCGCTTTTGACATATGCCTCTTCAACGGAGCATAGGGAGCCCCAGCACTCCCTTTGCAGACCCTGCAGGGGAGCTGGACTAACTTGGGGTGGAGAGGGGCCTATCGCCTCCCCCTCAGAACATACTGATTGGTGTATGTTCAGACCACACAGGGACAGTGGGAAAAGTTGGACAGTGAGCCCTCTTCTTTAAAAATGCTCTTAAATTTGTCCTTTCTCACTTTGAGCATTTAGAAGGATTTGCTGAGGCTCAGTGCAATGTACAGTTTATGTTATCGCGTTATTCTCCATGAAGTATTCACACGAAGCAAGAGGCACTGTGGAATGATGGCGTTCAGGCTAAGGCAGCACTACATTGCATGGGCCCCGGTCCCAAGAGCTCATTTCGTATTCTTATGCATTCGGCTATATTGGTTTATGTAGTCAAGTTGCATTAATTAAATGAACTTTATCCTGTGCTCTTTTAAATGTTTGTTTTATACTTCTAAAACCTGGGTTGGCACATTGGGAAACCAGAGCGGGACCTAGCCACTTCTCTCTCAAGTTGAAGTTTTGCAGGTTTTGTTGAGAAGACACCTGCCAGCGCTTTTGGAAGCTGACATTAACAGAAGCAAATTCACCAGAAGGGAAAAATCTCAGGCCAACATAGGCAAATGAAAGGGCTATTAAAATTTTTTTTACACCTTTGAAAATTGCAGGCTTGGTACAAAGAGGTCTGTCATCTTTCCCTTGGGATATAAGATTATCTAGTTCACAGCAGAGGATTATCAGTGACAACTCTAGCAGTTATATTGTGTAATAAGTACTATTCCCAGTGGCAATTAGTGAGAAAATTATTATAAATTATTTCAACTGGAAAAAAATAAAAGAGGCAAGCCCTTTTCTGGCCTTTTGCAGAATACAGCAGACAGAAGTGTCACTTGCAATTGGTACTTTATTCTTTGCTGCTGTTTTTGTATGAAATGACTTATCCCATATTTCTGTATGGGTTTCTACCAGGAAAAATAAAGGGGCTTCCTATGGAAGTCCTGTCTTATTCCAGGTGAAGGAAGAAAGTGAGTACTTTTGACAGGTGTCAACCTCAAGTATGATGACATTTCTGATACTGGAAGGAGATGGTGGGGGCTTCCTGGTGCCTCACCTGCAGGAACCTACGCCTCGGAAGCTCTGGCTTTGAGGTTTCCAGGTAGGCGAGGTGCTCGCCAAGCCTCCTGAGGACACGGGGAGACAGGAGGAACACCTTGGCAGACCCATGCTAGTCTTCTCACAGGGCTGTTGTCACAGAACCCTCAGACAACACAGAGCCCTTCGTTCCACCTAAGAGGGCCACATACTGTGTATCTGAAGCTTGGGCCTGGTGTGAAATGATCTGTGGACAACTTTGTACAGAGACAGGTGGCCGTCTGAACCTCCTGGATGTGTATTCATGTTCCCAGTCAGGTCTGAGATGCGTGCTTTGTGTGATTCCATGTTGACCTCTTCTGAAAGCCGTGGGCAGTGGTTTCTGAGGGCCTGCATTGTCCACCTGCTGCCTGACCCCGTGAGGGCTTCCTGTGGCGCATAGCTGTCCTCCAGGTACTTGGCAACTAGCTTCAGGTACAGCCCAGTCTTTCCAATTGACTAGTCACGTTTGGCTACCTTTGGATGGTGTCTTAGAACCCTCACTGCTCAACTGAAGGCGACTGCTAGGAGGCAGGAAGTTTTAGTTCTGTTTTCCCTAAAGCTACTTACTTGGTTCCTTTTCTTTATAGACTAGACCGCTGGAGGAGGCAGCATAAGGAAAATATAGGTAAGCCCACCGCTGGTACCCCTGAAAATAAATTCGGCCGTACCTAGAGGTTAAGGTAGGACCTGGCGCCAGTTCCATCACAGGCTGCATAGAGGGTGCTTTAGAGCATGTGTAATATTTGTGTCCTTCGTCACAAAAACGTTTCATTTTTAAAATCCTGTTGTATGAAAGACATTGTTGCATTTAAAAACTTTTCTAAAGGACAGTTGAAAGAGGCAACAGCCGCTTCCGATGCGTGTGGTTCCCTTGCCACAGGCTCCCCACCAGGTCGCCTTCACCTTGGGGCCTCAAGAGTAGCTAGCCCTGGGGCACAGGCCCGCAGTCTAAGCACCTCCCCCAGAGCCAACTTCTGTTCCCTTTCCTCTCCTCCCTCTTCCAAACTTAATTTAGTAACGTAGATCCTTCCAGCACAGCCGTAGGTAGCCGCCCCCGTGGGTTCCGGTTACAGGCCTGTGCTGAAACATCATCTCAGTTGGCCACCTTCCTGGCAGGCTGCAGAAGATCTGACATTTTGAGACAAGCCTAGTAGAGTCAGGAGCGGGGACTTTGACTCTTAGGAAGAACACACATGAGGGCAAGGCTGCTGGCAGACTTTTCCATTGTCCTTATGTTGTCTGTGTTGTATTTTTTTATTGACCGTGATTATTTTTTTAAATCATTGTTAATGTATTGGAATGAGCTGTAGCACGTTATCTTGTGCTTAGCTTTTGTTTTTCTCCATCTCTCCCCTTGGCTTCCTAGTTTGGACATATTCCAGGGCTAAATGCTTTTATTCAAACCGCAGAAAAAGGTTTTCTTGAAGTCGTGTGTGCATGTCATGCATGTATGTGAGTGGTCTGGGGAGAAGGCAGATACCTGACTTCATCCTTAGCCCCAGGCTGCCATTTCTGAGACTCCCTGCCAGGAGGGGGCAGCGCCATCAGGCCCCTCTCTGTAGCAGTCCTTAAAAGGAGAGGGAGGGAGAGGAATCGGCACACTGCTCATGGGACTATTTACCAGGGGTTACCAGTGGCGAGAGGGCACGAGTTTAGTTCTGGATCCTGTCTTACTGTGTGACTGTAAGTGGCAGAGTTGGGCGTTCTCCCAAAATCTACATGTGTCTCCACTTTCCTAGAAGAAAACCTCAACACAGCTAAGTTGTACCATTTTTCTTGGTGTGGCATCAGTGTTCCCTTCTAAAACCCCTTCAAGTATCAGTCTTCACAATGTATGTCACCCTTTTAAGGAGTATCATCTACTTCTCAAGTGGGTGGGAAAGTAGAACAATGTATACAGAGGACATGGGTCCACAATGAAGACGCGGCACCTCTGCTGGGAGGGTGCCAGTCAGTGGGGAAGTGACATACAGGCAGCTCTGCAGAAACACAGCAAACTCGCCTAGCGTGTAAACTGGATTGAGAAATTCTCTGATTCTATAATTGATTTTCTTATTTTACGCTCAAGTCATGTACATTCTCTCATCCTGGTGTTTCACATTTATGTAGTGTCTTAAAACCATTCGAGACAGACAACTATTCAAGACAGACAACTATTTAATTTTTGGAAGCAAAGTGGGAAAGCTCTCCTCCCAAGGACAGTGGCTGGGAAGAGCTGGGGGCACAGCCGGGTCTAAATGTGGGCTGGGGAACGCAGTGGCTTTTTGACTCCACGCCAGGTCGCAGTGTGAGAGAACTTGACACAACGGCTGGAGCCCCCGTTCTCCAACACGCCTTCTCTCACCCCCTCACTGCTGCTGCTGCAACCAGGCTGCTGTTCGGTGCACGTTTGGTGGGGGAATAAAGCGTGGACAGCGTTGATCGCCTTCACTTCTCAGCCAGCCTCACCTTTTAATACCTTTGTAAAAAGCATGTATGTATTTATAGTGTTTTAGATTTTTCTAACTTTTGTATCTTAAGAGCAGAGCACCTCTTTAAGCATTGTACTATTGTTAAAAAAAAAAAAAAGATTTGTGTCCTCTTTCTCCTTCTCTTCCCCCTGTAAGTGCCCTTCTAATAAACTTTTCATTGAAAAGCTCCTGTGCCGGGAGCTCAGCCTCGTTCCTGCTGCCGTGTACGGAGAAGATTTACGAGGGAGCTCAGTGGGGCCCCGGCACTCAAGGGCACAAGAGGAAAATGTCTCTAAGCCCAAGTGCACTTTGACCAAGAATGTACCAGGCCACCTTCTGCCACAGCCTCATGTAATACCCCACTCACTCATCCACTCACCAAGGGCAACATGGGGTACCAGCCAGTCCCTCAGTGACAGCAGGAGCCCCTGGGTCAGCATCTCTCCTGCTCCCCACATCGCCGTACCACACCAGTCCCATCGCTGCTGTCTTGGCGGTGGCATTTTGCATTTATTTCTCCTGCACTTGAAGGCCTTTGGCAAATGATTAGAGGCCAGCACCCTACTCTTCCCACAGGCGTGGAGGTGTTTTACTCATGAAAAAGCAGGTTTCCACACTTTCCAGTCCAACAACTTTGCCTGTTAGCTCCTGTGAAAATTCATCCTAAGTTTGAACTCCCAAGGAAAAAGAGACTTCAAAATGATTTCCTTGGCTGAATCTTACCCTGACCCCAGATGACATGAATTAAGAAACAGGATGATTAAAACGAAAAAACAGAATTGGGGGAAGGTGTGTGGGGCTGGAACAATCCTTTAGCTGGGCCACTTCTTTCTAAGCACCTCACCAGAGTCCAAACACCTCCCAGACCAGGAGGGAGGCAGAATGCACAAGAATGGCTCCTTTGGAGTCCAGATTCGGCCTCCATGAGCCGCATCAAATGCCTTACTTCGTGATTATTTGGCCAGTTCTCCCCTCCTGCCCCCTAAACAACATTCCCCAAGGCTTTTCTTTTTTAAAAAAAATCTAGTCTATATTTCTCAGCAAATGACTCTCAAATTTACACCTCTAACCTAACCTGTTTCTTGAGCTCCCCAACTTTAAATTCCTGCTGCCTGTTAAACATGATCTGAAACATAACACACACACACCCCCCCACGTCTGAATCGCTTCCCATCTCACTGGAGCTAGCTCCCTTTTCTGACTGTTTTGATCAGTAGCCGCCCCCCGCTCCGTCCCGAGCAGCCTGTGTGTTTCTTTTCCTTGCTCTCCACCACCTCTGCTGCAGCTGCCCCTGTTGGTCAGACCTCCCTTTCGGAAAGGCCCTCGTCCCGGAACTCTGTCTCCTCTGTTGGGCCTGCAACTCGGCCCTCGGCCTTCTGCCTACTCCTGGGCTGGTGTTCCCAGACCACTATGTATTCTTGACATTCCTCCTGAGTGATCTCATCAACTCGCCAGATTTCAAGTCACACAAATGCTAATGACTCCCAAATCAGTATTTACAGCCCCAACATCAATCCCAAGCTTCAGACTCTGGATACTGCTGCTACATGGAGGTGCCACAAACACCTCAAACTCACAATTTAAAAAGTGGAATTCATCATTGCCCTTATTAAACCATCTCCCTCTCCTCTGGCCTTCAGCCCCATTTTTGGCTCAACCATTTACCCACCCGACAGCCACAGAAGCCTCGGTCCCCCACCCTGCTTCGCGCCCCACATCCGATCAGTCCTGTTGCCTCACTCTCATTGCCCCATGCAGCAGGGACCCCTGCAGCCTGCTTTCCCACACCACCCCTCCCCAGGCTATAGCAGCTTCTAAGGTCTTTAACGTGGACCAGCTGACCATCATTTGGCCCCCGTTTACCTCTTGCAGCTGGCTGTCTCACTCACACCATGGACGACTCTTCCCCAGTATACCCCGTCCCGGCCTTTTCCACGCGCATCACCAGTTCATCTGGCTTTGAGACATTACTTTCACCTGGCATTACTTTCACGAATGCTTTGAGACTCAGGTGAGACATCTGTAGGAAGCCGCTCCTTCCTCTAGGCTATGAGTTCCCTGAGAGCAGCGTTTACATCTTACATCCCTCGCTGCTTTTGGCCACGACGTTTTTTGCTGAATAAATGAATCAATCAGAGCCCATATCTAGTAGATTCTACCTTAGCAGTATCTTTTGCATCCATTTCCCCTGTGTTATCCTATAGAAAGTCCTTATGCATGGTGGAAGGAAGGAATGAAACACAGTTCCTGATTACCTTTTATCACAGCTGTTCATTCCAACATTCTCCTAATTTGTCTCCCTCTAGTCCAGGGATGGCAAAATCACTACCATTCTCTATTTCTATATCCATGGCGAAAAAGCACTAATCACAGTACTGGGTCCATTCTTGGCCGCAGAATCCTTCTTGACACAGCTCTCCTAGCACAGTGCTAACTAAATCGCCTCAGCTGATAGTACTGCCAGATTTCCCTGGAATGCAATCGTGGTCAGACGTCTTTTCTGCTCCAACCACCTGGGGTACCTCAATTGCCTCCAGATTAAGCACAGGCTCCACAAAGTAGGAATTCAAGGTTTTCTCCAACATCCCTCCATCCTCACCTACCACCATTTTTCTAACTGGACTACTGGGATTCTCCCAGCATAACTCCTTGCTTTCTCATCTCCGTACCTTTGTTCATACTGTAACTTGCACGAAGAATCCTGCTGCTTCCACCCACCTACCTGCCCAAATTCTTACCCTTCCAGCTCAATTCATGCATCCCTTCCACTGAGTGGGTCTCAGTGTGGAACGTGGCCAGCCGACCAGTATCACCTGGATGTTAGAAAAGCACCTTCTCAGGCCCCGCCCTGGACCTACTGAATCGGAAAGTCTTACCCTCCCGGCTCAAGTTTGAGGACCACTGCTCCATGACAGACTTGATGCTCCTCCTTCCTCTGCTCTTCTTCCCGCGGCAATTACGGCTGCTCACAGCGCTCTTCACGTTCTGCCCAACACTCTACCGTCTGTGCCCTGGTTTTGCTTGTCCCCTACTCCCACCTGAGCTGGACCATGAGCTCCTGGAGACGAGGACTTACACCCTTACCAAGTCTGCGGCCTCTGCCACACCAAGCACAGTCTGGCGCCAAGAAGGTTCCCCGTCAGTGTTGGCTGGACCCTGGATTCTTGTTTCAGCTCTCACCCGGGGAAAGGAACAGGTTACAGTTGCTTTTTCTCACCTTTAGCTTTGCGGCCTTCTAACTTCACCCTTTATACCTTCCTGAGAATTTCCTGGAGCAGCAGGATTGATGCAGGCCAGGTCATCAGGCTCAGACATCAGGCTCCCAATTACGCAGCTGTTTTCATCAAGTTCCTACCCCAGGCCTCACTTAGCCCACATTTTTGTAGCATTAAAGCCACCTGGTTGATAAGAAATGGGAGAGGCAATGATTGGTGACATCCTTCAGAGGTAAGAACTCCTTCAGAGGTGAGGACCAGGGAGGCTGGTCATGGGCTGCTGTATGTGACCTGTTTGTGCCTCCCAGATTTAGTTATAAGGAGAGAGGTACTTGAGCCTATCAACAGATATTAATGGGTTTTATAAGAAAAAAGTTTGTTTCTTCCCATACCTGAGTTCCAAAGATGCAGTAATGACCATTAAGCCCAGGTTTTGCATCAATACTTTCCCAACAGGAAACAAAATAGAACTGTAAGTCATTAAGAGCTGGAACGGGACTCAGCTGCAACAAGAGGCTCACACTGTTTCTATTACCTCTTCTTAGCTCTTCCGCAAATCAGAGAAATGCCTCAGAATCGAGCAAGACACTTCCTACACTAGGAGAACTGTCACATACACACTTAACTCTGAATAAAGATATCTACATTAAGAGCAAGACTTGAGATATTAATAACAGGCACAGGTAATGCCCAAAGTAAGTATGAAACTTAGAGAATTTCTAAGACCCTTTCTGCAACAGCTTACATGCCAAAGTTACAAGCATGAATCACTAAAAGAAACCCCAAGTGCAATCAAAATCAAAACTAGAAATTTGCCCGGCAGTCAGCATGCTACTTTTATGAGACATACAAATTATGGCAAAGTTAATAGGGTATTGTTTTCAAGCCAACCGTATACTAAGATGGTATACTTGACCAGATTTTCTGCACTCTCTCCACCTACAATCCTCTAATAAGGTTTGGTATTTAATGACAGAATGCTGTAGCTAAACTGTCTTTTCTATTTTTACATTTTGGGAGGGCGAAAAGCACCTCTACTCATTACAGCATTCTCTGGAACTCTGTCTCCATCAATCAGAACGTTCAATGAATCAGAACCTCTGACCACACTAGACACATGTTTGCTAAATTTAGCTTTGCATCAGCAAACACTCAAGCTCAGAATAGTTCACGGGGCTCTCATCTTACCCTTAGACAGTGATTCTTCTAAGATTGTTTTTCCGTGGCAGGCCAAGGCAGGGCAAGGGGCAATCTGTGTTCTCTCTACATGGCCATTGTTAAGAGACTGGCCCAAGGTTACGGGACTCCAACATCAGCCATGCAGACATGTTTGTCCCCGCCTCTCCAGAGTGGGAACTTTAAATTAGCCGTATATCACCTTTCATGTGTTGTATGTAAGTAGTTTGCAGCAATGGCCTGACGTGCTCTATGGTCCTTGAACCACATCCCATATTACTCAGCCATCTAAGTCTAGCTTCCCTGAATCTCCAGCTTCTCTGAATTAGATGTGGCCAAGTTCTATAAATAGGGAGCAAGCAAATTGGTTCTGTCAATCTTCTCATACTCTGGCAGGATAACATATTTTAAAATTATAAAAATATCTATGTCTTCATCACTCTAAAATTATTACATAACACATGATTTTCTCAGGAAAAAAAAATTTATTCTTGTCACTCCCTACCTACCAACATGCTTTCAAACTTTGGGATCATATTCATCAAACTATCAAATATGAATCCAAACCAAAATTAAGGGCCTACTATGTGCCAGACAGTGTGTTACACAAATAGAGAAACGTTTAAGGAAAACAAAAACCAAGCCTCTCATTTTAAATCCGAGGTGGACAGTCCATAATCTTGTGATGGCAAGTACATAGGTCACTTTAGATAGATTGCAACTTTTACTGCACTATTAGCTCATGATAACTCTCCTTAACACGGGCCATAAGTAGATACTACTGGATACTTTTATCCTACATGCCCCGTAGCAGGGGCCAATATCCCCAAATAGCTGAGGTCTTGAAAACATGACTGGTATTATACAAATGTATAATCCATTCCAAAATAGTTTGACAAACTCTTAGATTATTCACTATTGATGCCTAACCCACTGAAGGAAGGCTTCCTCCACATACATCCCCTACTAAAAAACTGAATCATAACAATACGCATTAACACGCTTTATCAATAAGTCACATTTTAATCATCTGGCTTTGTTTAATCCACAAAATAAAGTTCACAGTTTTTTCTAACCATGGGATCCTAATGTATTTTCTGAAACCTTTCATGTTTAAAAAAAAAAACACATTCCACCTTTTGTTTTGCAACATGAAGCCAACTTCCCTTACATTCCTAATGAATGGCTAATGCAGTCATCTCAAAGAAACCCTGATGGAATGGTGGTAAACTATTGTCTCAAAGACCCTTCAGAATAGTAAAAAAAAAAGGAGGGGGAAAAAAAAAGTCACTAAGCAAGACAGCCTCCAAGTGTGCCTGGAATGGCTCTGAGTGCTCCCCTCACTGAAACCCCCCCTCCTGTGACGCCCGGCACCTTGAGCCTTCCATTCCTTCTGCCATCTGTTTCGTGCTCCACAGCGCTTAGCAGGTGGTACACACAGGGGTCTGAAACTTGTTTCTGTTAGTAAGCACACTGGACCAAGATGCACTTCTCAGCCCCCGTGCCAGCACCACCCAGCCCTGGTGCCCTGTGCCATTTAGAGTCATGGCAGTGACGACCAAAGTGAAGGTTAATAACATGCATTACAAAGTGTCTACAAAAACAGAAATGAGGATTTTTATTTGCTGCATTTCCCACTCTTCCTTTGGAAACTTTTCTTTTGGTGATCAGTTCCCCTGGGGCTGACCCACTCAGGCCTGGAAGTTAACACAAGGTACTTAGGGATTCATTACTTAACGTTTCACATCCTTTCCCACCTCACCCACTATTTTGGCAGTGATCTCTGTTTGTCTTTCAGAGAGAAGGAGGGGGGGAAACTTGACTTGTTTTGAGGGTATAAAGTGTGACTGCACAGTTCTCACATCTCAAGTAGCAAGGGAGAACTCTAAGGAAGAAGAGTTTCTTCACATTGATACTAATGCAAATCTCAGTATATGATCACATATGGTTTTAATGGCCCATATAGGCAATTCCTTAATTTCGGTCTCTTGCACGCACATGCACACATGCGAGACAACTTGGTGAAGGGGTCTATTTTATCCCTACCAGGGTAGGAAACCTTTGCCTTACTTATTATAGTCTAAAAATTCACACTGGCTTCTCAATGCTTCCTAGCATGAGCTCAGACACTACATTTTAATTGAAATGCCCAGAAGCATTTTTTTTTGTTAGCTAGAGACTAACCTGAGGGCCACTGTCCGCATCCCACCTATACTACAGCACAATTCAAATCTGCAGCTGCTTGCTTGCTTCCCACCAAAAGCGTCCAAGCTCAGAGCAGCAACTTCCATGGAAGCAGAAAATCCAAAACACCCAGGAAGGGTTCCAAAAGCTCCTGATCTGCAGTCATCACGTGTGAGCAGGGAATGCTACTTAAAAGGGTGGCTAAGAATGGCTTGGAGGTTTTCTTCTTCTTTAACTTGGGCCAGTTACACAGGCCTCTGAGCCTCTCATTCCACTCCCATCCCTAGAACAAAAAAGGTATACTTGAAAAATTCTCACTTCTTACTATCATTATGCTCCTCACCCCCTTACAGTAAACTGAGGGAGAAAAACCTTCTCCTTAACCCTCTACTAAAAACCAAAATTAAGGGATCCTATCCTACAAACAAGTCAGGAGGCCAACATGACGATGGTTAAGTTCAGCAAAATGTAACGGGGTTGAGCAGGGAAGGATCTCAGAGAGAGAGTTATTAGCATCTTTGTTAGTCAAACCCTAGTGTGAATAATTTAGTGCTCTTCATCAGATGAAAGGCCTTCAATTTCATCTCTGTCTCCCCCAATTGCCATCCAGAATGCTTTGGCCACCTGTGGAGGGAAGTGTGCAACAAATTTTAGGCAACAGCTAAATTTCTGCTTATCTCATATGTCATACTTTGAACTTACTAAGACCTAAAATTCTATACCTTGTCCCTCCAGCCCTCTGGCAATATATATCAAAACACATGACTAACCCTGACACAGAACTTCCATTTCTAGAAATTTACACTCAGTATAATCAGAGCTGTATACAATGTGATGTGCAAGGGTTTGTGTAGCTTCACTATTCATAGAAGCAAAAAATTCATGTGATCTAATTGTCCAAAAGGGAACTGGATAAATTATGACACATTCATACAATAGAATACCTTAAACCATATATGTTTCCTGCAAAAACATGTGTTGCGTTGGTAATAACCAAACAAAACAAAATAACTCAGAGTTTTCCAGTCCAACTGTTAGGAAGGCAAACACCATGAGTCTCAATGAATGTTCCACGTCACTCAAAATACATCTGAAAAATCTCAATTTGACTGGAGCAGCTAAGTTACTATCGTGTAAATATTCAATTAGTTTAAGTTAAAATCCAATGAAAACTTCGCACTAAGACACTTTAGAAGCAAACAAGTATAAATAATAAACAAGGGCTATAATTCTAACTGCACTGGACCTTTTGTAGGTACTCAATAAATACCTGCCTGGTTGTCTCACCTTTTCTGCATGCAACTTTCTCTGCTCGTGAGGAAGCGTCGCAGCCTTGTCTAGGGGGAAAATATATCTTAAGAAATTTGTCTAATAGCACAGGAGAATCTGGAGTGTATGGATGTTCTAACACTAAAGATGAGAGGGGGGTTTCAGAGGCATATGTTTACGGTGTAGTCATTACAGCTGTTAGGAAGTTTAAGTCTTCCAAATTTTCCAGATGGGAATGATGTGAGTATACTATTTGGTAGGAATCTTACTAATTCCATGTTAATGAAATACACTCAAAGAAACAGAGGTGAGAGAAGAAGGGAAAATAAGAGGAAAGAGAAAGAAGGGAGAGGAAAATTTTCCCCAGGGAATTTTTACCAACAGAGGGGCACAGTCCCCCAGTAGCTGAGTTTCTCAAGACAGCTGAGACCAGAGCATGGAATCCAATCAGCAGTTACAAAATAAAATCCTATGTGAAACTGAGGAGCATCAAATATGGGAACATGGTAGACACAATGGAGTCACTTACCTTTCATTTCCTTTAACTTGGAAAATAGTCTTTCGAAATTCTCCAAGTCTCCTCCGCCCGTAGTAAGACTGGCTAATTCTTGAATATCCAGATCTAACATGGGATCTGAAATAAGGATTCATCACATTGTCACACGTTATTTATATATGTGCTAAACACACAGAACCCTAAGGCTTTGATGCAAGTCGCCAGTGAATGAATGCCCAATGCATACCAGCTTTACAGCTCATGGTGCTTGCCACTGCGTGGCCGCTAGTGGGCCCTCACCAAATGAACAGGAACTTATTTTATCCTTACAACACTGTAACGAGGCAAGGCATACAGTTGCCATTTTAGAGATGAGAAAACTAGAGCTCTGAGTTGAAGTGACTTGCTCAAGGTCACAGCTAGCAAGTGTGACCTTGGATTCAGACTTAGGTGTTCACAACTCTATAGGCCACGCTCTCCACTAGGGGATGCTGACTCAACGAGTGCCTGAAATTTATACCAGATTTTACTGTACAACAAATATTTTCACATCTATTACTGACAACCATATAAGGTGGTTAGGACAGATACCGCTGTCTGCAATTTATAAATGAAGAAACCTGGGTTTTAAAATTATAAAGGATGGATCCATAATATTGAATGCTGCCAAAAGGCCAAGAGGAGGACTGGAAGACATCTATTAGGCTGAGTGGTATGTGGATCACTGGTGAGCTGTTTTAGTAGGAAATGGAGGCAAAAGCTAGATGGGAATGCGCTGAGGAGAGAATGGGAGGTGAGGAATTGAAAGGAGTTTAGTAAAGAAAGGAGGGAAACATGGGAGTTGAGGAAGTGTTTTACTTTCACACTTTTGGTTTGGTTTTGCCTTTAAATAAAAATTTAAATAATTTTAGTCTTACAAAAATATTCCAAAGATAGTATAGAGTTCCAATACGCCCTTCCCCCACCTGCCTTTAGTGCTAACATCTTACATAACCACGTTATAATTATAAACATCAAGAAGTTAGTAATGGTACAGTGCCATTAAGCTACAGACTTCATTCAAACTTCCATCAGTTTTTCCACTCGTATCCTTTTTTCTGTTCTAGCGTCCAATCAAGGGCCCTACACAGAACTGAGCTGTTAGATTTCCTTAGTCTTCTCCAATTTGTTCCTCAGTCTTTCCTCATCTTTTATGACTTTGACACTTTTGAAGAGTCCTGGTCAGTTTTTTTGGTATAATGTCCCTTCATTTGGGTTTGTCTGATGTTTCATTATTTATTAGACTGAGGTTACGCGCCTCTGGCAATAACACCACAGAAGCGAGTGCCTGTTCAGTCATCGTATTAGGGGGGAGATGATGTCAATGTGTCTGATACTAATGATGCAACTTTCATCATTTTAAGTGGTATTGTCCAGGTTTTTCCAGTATAAAGTTACTCTTTTTCCTTTTGTAATAAATAAATGTCTTGGGAGAGATACTTTATTTATTTATTATTATTATTTTTTTAAGATTTTTATTGGGGAATCGGGAGGGGAACAGCGTTGGGGAATAGACAGGTAGACAAGTTGCTGTCGTTTTGTTCTTCAGTCTAGTTGTGGAGGACGTCGCTTCACTGGCCCATGTTGGTATGATCATTGTGCTCTTCCCGGGTGAGGCAATTGGTCGCTGGTCATTGGTCAGCCGCCCGTAGCGGCTCCCGGTAGCTCACACCGGCTACCAGACGCTTACGTAGCTCACTGCAGCCCCGCTGCAGCCTATGCTGTTGCTGGCGACTCACGGCAGCCCAGCTCCAGGTTGAGCTGTTGTTCAACATTAGCTGTAGAAGGCAGTGCCACTGGCCCTCAATGTGGGATCTGAACCACAGCCCTGCTGCTCAGAGCTGGCGCTCCCAAGCGAGCTCTTAACCAGCTGAGCCACTTGGCCGGCCCTTGGGAGAGATACTTTTAGACTATGCAAATGTGTTTCTTCTCATCCATCAGTGGACCTGGCCTGTAACAACTATTACTGAGGGGTGTGGCTAATGGTGATTTTCTATTTCTCTCATTCCTTCTACATTTATTACTTGGAATTCTTCTATAGAGAGGAGCAGCCCTTTCTTTCCCAGGTATTGTTTTGTTTATTCAATTACTTATTTTTATTAGTATGGATTCATGAATATTTATTTTAGTCTATGGGTTATAACCCAATACTGTATTAATTTATTTTGCTGGCCAAACTGTTGCAGCTTCAGCCACTGGAAGCTCTTCCAGGTTGGTTCCTCTGCCCTTTCAATATGTCCTCAATCTTTTTTGAGCGCTTCCTTACTTTCTGTCACCATGAGATGCTCCAGGTTTATCCTACATCTTTCCTGCCCCAGCTCTGGACTCATCTACTTCTCCAAGTAGCA